GACATGGCATGAGCAAAATATAGGTTTACCTTCTCATTTGGCTCAAGATCCGTGGCCAAAGTTGCTGCTGGTTCGCTTGCTTGACTCAAGTTGCTTCACACATCAGTGCCTGGCTCAAGTTGCTCCAGACAGGGTGCTTGGCTCACTGCAGCTTCGACAGCGGCGATGGGCCAGAGAACCTTTTGCTATTTGCCTTCGGCGCGGGCTGGACCAACAAAACTTTGAACGCTTTATTCAACGCGATGGCTCTTAAAGGGGCCAGCAAGAAACACCAGGATGCAACTACCAACGTAGGTCCCAAGGCTCATCCGTTGCTCGTTGAAATTTCCGACTTCGCTCTCGTGTCAGGCCGGAGGATCGACGAGCTCCACGCCTTCGCCGAAGAGGCCTCGGAAAGGAAGGTTTGTCTCTTCCGAGCTTTTTTCTCGCTCTGCTGCGCTCGACCTCTCGCAGGACAACAGTGGGCTGGCGGACACGACGCTCGATCGCCTCGCAGGAAAACCCGCTCGAGCCTGCCGCTTTTTTTCTTCAGGGTGGGGGAGTGCCGAGCGGGCACTCTAGGGTAGGTAGATGTGCCGAGCGGGCACAGACGAGTTCCCCCGCGACAAACACATTGTGTGTGAGTCCCACACGATATTCCTTATGGGGTTTTCTCCAGGACGCAGCGGGGGTTTTGGCGTCGCCAAATCACTGGTACGTGAGGCATCCTGCCCACCGTCGGCGGATGTTTGGTTTGTGCTTGTTTCTCTTACTCGCCTTCATGTCCTCGCTGCATCGACGCACATCTTGATCCACGTCTTGGTTCAGTTATCAGCACCACGGCCGGCTGCATACTTGGTCACTAGCTATGAGCACTTTGACGTGTTGGGTGGGGCGGGGTGGGGTGGGGTGGGGTGGGGTGGGGTGGGGTGGGGTGGGGTGGGGTGGGTGGCGTGGGGGGGGGGGCGGGGTGGGTGGGGGTGGGGGTGGGGGTGGGGGTGGGGGTGGGGTGGGGGCGGGGGTGGGTTGGGGGGGTGAGGTGAGGGGCTGGGATGGGTGCTTTGAAATCAGAGGTATTTAATATTTGACTGAAAGACTGTGTTTTTGGAATTCATGTTGGCAAGATTAAGTTGTTGTATCTTGTTGGTGACGAGCACGGCTCGCCGCAGAAAGATGAAGGACACGGACTAATGATGAGTACCGTACCTTTTTGGAAACCCTGGGGTGATGGAGTGATAGAGTGATTTAGGAAACCTTGAGACCTTTATTTTCATATGAGTGATAGAGTGATGGCTGGTGGGGAACATCCAAAATGAGATAGGGCCGACAAAACATTGGTGACATGACATGTTCGTAAGCGCAGCGTTTTGGCCACATTGGCAGTGGGGTCTCATCGACGCTCGGCTGAATGTGTTTGGAAAAGTGCCCCTGCTTCCCTGGCGATCAATCTCATGCAGACCAGTCCATCAGCCATGGATGGGGCCGTGTCACGGGGCTGTTGCTGTGATTGCCCGCTTGGCCTTCCGAACAAAACAACCTTTGTCTTGAAGAAATTGACGAATCAGGCAAGAGAGGCGCGTTGCGGCTACTGTCCGGGGTTGTAGCTACATTGAGGGATTCCAAGTCCGACATGTGGCGAGGTTTGGCTTCTCCCTTCGGAGCATACATTGCAGCATCTGAAGTGTAGATTATATACACATACTCTATATATATATTGATAGTGTGTATATATATATATATTGATAGTGTGTATATATATGTACATTGTTGTGTGCATATATATATATATATATATTTACAGCATGGGAAGTTAACCTTTCTGAGTTCCCCCAAGAGACAAACCCATCCCGTGTAGCAGGTGTCCCAACAATCAAACACAACACCAGCAACATCGACGCCTCGGCTGGTTGAACTCCGTGCAACAATGTTGCGCGTTGGTAGCAGGAGGATAGCACCACAGCCTAGAACCCACGTACCTGCAGGAAGAAAACTTCTTTCAGGAAATATGCCGTGAAATCAGAGGCGGTGGACATTCCGAATTAATTCCAACCGCTGCTGCAGCGAAATGTGCCAAACAAAAAAAGGAACCAGCTTCTCCGCGTTTTGATGCTTCACAAGGCTTGGAGCCACTTGTATGCGTGTCTCCCACTCCGTTAGTCCCTTCACCGATGCAGTTTGGGCATGTGTCAACTTTCAAGCATGGGGGCACGTCAAGGCTAAAGGCATGCCCGCCTGTCAGGATTTTGTTTCCATTTCCCCAGATGAGAAGTGGAATGACCAGGAAGAAGTGGCTCTTTGCGGCATCCGATCATAGTGAGCTTGTCTTCATCGACGTGGATTTGAGTTCCCGGGGACCCCGCGCCGAAACCGCAAAAGAGGCGCATCCCGAAACGAGATTCATTTGGAATGTTTTGTTTGAGGCTGTTGGGGCTTGAAAAAAGGACCGACGGCCACGCATTGTGAGGCTTCGCCATTTGGAGGCAAACCCAGCTTCTCTTCGGCGTCCCTACAAAACAGACCCAATTTCCGATGTTGCCATTGAACAATACGCTTCTACTTCTTTTGTGGCCATTCAACCCTTTTCAAAAAGGGTCCCCCAAAAAGCATGCTGGTTTCCCTTGGTTTTTTTTGTTACGTACAAACCCAAGACGCGCGTTTAAACTGCAGGGAGAACTTCGGTCCATGCATCCGAGGAGAACTTCGGGCTGCCGAAGGCCTTCATCGGAGTCATCCTGCTGCCCATCGTGGGCAACGCCGCGGAGCACGCCACGGCGGTGACCAGCGCCATGAAGGGCATGATGGACCTCTCCCTCGGCGCCTCGCGGAGTGGGATGGGGTTGGCGGGGTTGGGGTGAACGGCTCGAGCTGTTGAGGTGCCACTTGGAGCGATATGGCTCTGGGGTGGAAACCCAGGAAACCCCTGGTGAAGAGCAGAATATGTGGTACATGGGTGTTCATCCGCCCCAAAATGGAGGCATAGGTTACGACCCATGGCCATATGGTTGATTTGCCGAGAAGGAAGCTGCATGGTGGATGGGTGCCTTTGAGATTTCTGGGACCAGGAAGGGCTTCCAGTTCCTTGTTGGCAGCTATGATCTACAGTAACACACTGCTGCAGTCAGGTCGTTCCGTGTTCCGCTTCGAGGCCCTCTGCCTTTGAACAATCACATTTGGTCAGACTTTGAGCCAACTATGCAAAAGCTGATTAAAACATTCGCACGCCTTTGACTTAGAAAGCCCCACGGCCTGTTTGCTTGGAGTTTACTCCCCCGTCCATTGACATCCCCTTCCTTTGACGCAACGTTGAAATCAGATTCCACCGAATCTGGCAAATCAAAAGCTCACCTTCAGAATCCCAACCCAAGCCTCATGGCCGGCTGAAGCCTTTAGCATCGACTCGTGTTTGTTAGGGTATCTTCCAGGGTTGTGTGCGCGTGTTTCCTCTTTTTTTTTTTTTTTTTTTTTTTTTTTCGACAGACACGTGTAGGTTGATTCCCAACGGCGTGCTCTCCCGTGGGGTCCGGGTGTCGAAGCGCACCCGAGGTGTGGCCGTGGGCTCCTCCACTCAGATCGCGCTCTTCGTGGTGCCCTGTGCTGTGCTCTGGGGCTGGATCTTCGATAGTCCCATGACCCTTGGAAAGCAAAAAGTAGCGAGAAAAAGCGAGAGAGAGAGAGAGAAAACAAAAACAAGGAAGGAAGAGAGCCGCCAGCAAGATTCGTTTTTTGTGGGAAGTCGGTGTTTGGGCGGCCACAATGAGTGGCCAGGCAATCCCCTTTGATTGCCAGTCATGGGGATGGATAACTGACTTTGGTATCACAAAAAGCAGTAGTACCCACAATCGTGGCCCACACAGGCACCCTCAAGGCTTGGGTTTTGTGGCAGTTCGCACCTGTTCGCAATCGATAAGGCGGATTTTCTGCTTTGTCTTGGCTGAGGGGAAAGGTTTGTTTCGTTCTAGATTCTAGTTGACCAACAGGGCAGCGCGGAGTTCGGTGAAATGGGTCAAGATTTGACTCGAGGACCCTTAGCTTCCGGAACTTCGACACCGCCTGCCAGATGGTCACCGTCTTTCTGGTGTCCCAGGTGCGATTCAATTGGAGTGCAAGCAATGACCGCGGTGTGCGGCTGGTTTGCGTCTTCTTGGTTGTGGTCCAAAGCCGTTTTCCGCAATTTGTTGGACTTGAGAAGCCAGAAGCTGCATCGCAAGTCCCAGGTTGAAATATATGTTCCGGCAAAAATCCCCAAACACGAATCATTGAATAGCCTTGTCAATATCGCATCAAATTGTCCGTGGCGCTGTTGACATCTTCGGTGGCATCGCTTGCTGGGATGTGCCGATTTAGTATATACATGTAAACCGTTCTTATTCCAGGATGAGCGACACGTCAAGACGGGCTCTTGATGAATAAGGTGAATAGCAGCGTCTCCGCTGAGCTCCTGAGGATTCCCGAAGCAGCACATACCGCCAGAAAGTGATATAGACATGAACTTGGTTTTAGACCAATCCTGCCTTCATGCATCGGTGCTGTCCATTCCTGTGGTGTTGTGACACGACCCTAAGGAGCGATCCCAGAAAGTCTGTCATCACCTGAAATCGCATGAGAAGAAATGTGGCTGTGCCTCTACTACTATCATTCCAGGCATGTGCTGAGGAGGAGGCACTACAGGAGCTCACAATGGAAGATCATCAAAGTTGACTTGTGCTTCCCAGGATAGACTCCAATTTACCCAGCCAGCTACTTGATACCAAGCCTCAGCACAAGTGTGACCCTGGTTAAGGGTATGTTGCCAACTGTGCCATTGAGCACAAATACTTGCGTGGCTTGCACAAGTTCGTGGCTCCCTTTAGGTGCTTTCGCACGGCAACACCAACTGGCTCCATGGGGTCATGCTGATGACGACGTACATTTTGATCGCCGCAATCACCTGGTTCATCCCGGAGTGAGCCAAATAAAGTGCAAACGATTCGCCGGATTCGAAGGGAATGCTCCAGTTCGGTCTTGGCATTGTCTAGCAACCGATAGACTACTTGAATTTCCGGGAATCAATGCTCACTGCCAACTTTCCTCCATCGAGTGGGTTTCATCACAATTTATAGATGGGATGGCACCTTTGCACTGAGCTGCTCTTTGCTTGCACCTAAGTTGCGGGTCTGTTTGCCAATCCGAAGTTCCGGTTCAAGACCCACTTTCCTTCTGGGCAGGCTAGGTCAAAAACCTGAAACTGCCGATATTCTATCGCCCCCATACCTGTGAAGTGAAACCAAAACAGCAATCAATGTCAAGTCCATGTGCTTCCGCCTTATTTGTGTTTCGCTTTCGGAGTTTCACATTGATTCCTCACTGGCATCCGGGCAACCGCATGGAGCAGTCCCTTCATTGAGGCTCCGCGTAGGCAATGATTTTCTGCAACAGGGTAGTTGTGTGTGGACAAATCTTTCCTACCAGAGAGCCTCTGGCCGTGTTCCTTGCGTGCACGTATCAGTCTAGCTGCAGCGTGCAGTCGCAACATCAGTTTCACCCTTGCCGTCGCGCTATGTGCTGAGTTTAATGATCAGGGTTGTGGCCTTTTGCTGTTCGCCACACGGCAAAGTGACGCTGGCTGGCAGCAAGATAATGTTCGGGGATGGTCATGAATCCTTTGATCAGAGTTTTGGCCACCACGCTTAGTGTTGACCATTCCCCAGAGAGCAACTAGTAAGAACTGTCAACAATTGTCAACCATTTTGCTGGCCCCTATGAAGCACAGCAAGTCCGGCTGCACTTGCAAGCAAAGTCCGAAGATCGGATATAAGGGCATCCAGTCGAACTTTAGGGATCGTGAGTCAAGACGAAAGGTTTGTCGCTGCGTTTGGATGGCCGAAAGTCTAGATGATGGGTTGCGGCTTGTGCACCTAGCCGCATGACATTCCCATTGTCGACATGCAGGCGGGTTGTGCGATGAAAGGCTTCTGTTCATTTTAGAATGGGCCCTCCTCTCTCTGTCATTCGTTCGCGAAGCCGAAGGTTGCTGTCCTGTTTGTCCACTTGTCATGTTCTATCATGGAGCACTGATGTCAGAATCCCCGTTCAGACTTGCGCTTTCCTGGCTAGTCATCCAAGGCTGGGGTGGACCTGACACACTTTGGGAGCATCATGTTGATGGGGAGTGACAGTATACGGCGGACTGTTGCCCTTCGCATGTGCCAGCATCTTAAGAGGTTTCCATGCGTCAAATACGGGTGAGTATCGCGGTACGGTGCACTGGATTAAGAGGCTTATCCCATGCCTGAGAGTCCATCTCAACTCCAGGTCACTCAAGGCTGTGTTTGACAGCCCCTGAGAGGAAGGCGGGCAGTCCATTTGGCTTGAAAAAACTGCACCCGCTGAACAAGCCAATCCTTGTTTGACCCCTTCTTCAGACACGGGGTCCTTAGTGTTCCACCTTCTTCTGGTGGCTTAAACATCACTCTTTGGGGCCTGGTTGATTCAGTTTCTTGGTGGGGGTGATCTTTAAAATAATTTGTCGAGGTTTGTTCAAAAACGTGGATGCCGGTTTTTCCGACGTGTTTGTGCCCCCTGTATTAAAGGCAAGGGCGCTCACGGCTCACACGTGCCATAGTCCAAACTTGACGTGGGGCTGACTAGGGCCAGTCCTCAAGCCTTACAGAGGGATCGTGGCCACTAAGGCATTGACGAGTGCCCCAGCCTTTGAGCCAAGGATTATCCTGGTGCGCATCCTGCGGCTGGCGCGGTTGGCGCGGGCCGTGCGACTCATGGTGCAGTTCCAAACCCTTTGGCAGTGCCTTGGACTGAAAGTCGGTCCGAGGATTCAGCTTACCTCCAATCCCGGTGGTTTGGAGCGTGGTTTGATGCAGGAGGGTAAACCCTATTCATCTACAAAAGCCAGGGGTTTAGATCAACCCAAGTCACCAGCTAAGAGTTACCTGAAGTTTTGGCTCAAGTTCCATTGCAACTCTCACTCTCACCAAGAAGTTAACTTTCTACCGGCCAACAACTGACCCCATGCAGGGCCTAAACATGGGTTTTGTCTTTTTTCCAATTGGTTTCCCACTGAACATGAGCCACACAGAACAAAGGATTATCTTGTTTTCCTTCACGACTCTCCTGCGAAGAGGTTGCCAAACGGAGAGTGTTCAGAGTTCTCTATAAATAGCATTAGATATTCCAGCAGTTCATTTTGTGACTGTAGTACAACCAAGTCAGAAGTGCCACTAGATAAAGTCTTACCTGCGCTTGGGGTGTGATGCCAAGTGAGATGTGCTGGAATCTTGGTCCAAGGTTGGTGCAAGGCTTGATGCTGAGCCTGACCACGCTTTTGTGGACCTTTCTGCTGATTATGATCCTGATGTACATCTTCGCCATTTTAGGTGGGCTGCATAGTTGCCTGACTGCTGGCTCATTGACTAGCTGCATTTACGGCTTTACAGTTTTGGGCACCTAAGCGGGCATGCAGTTGTTGTTTTAGATGATCTTTGGCAATTTCCTATGCGATTAGCCAATCATGTCAAGAGTTGTTGGGCTGCCGAGTAAGGGTTGCCTTTGACATGTTTCATTGCCCCCTTGTAGACCATCATGTGTGCAATTGAGAAGCAGCACCTCCTGATTGAAACTAGCATTGAGGCCTTCGCGTTCCACCTGGAGGTAAGAACAATGTGAACCTCTTGGGCTTTGGCAACAGAATGGACCCATGCCTGGCTAACCTGGGTAGCACAACACTTAATACTTGAGTGCTGAGCAGGACATCGGGCGTGCAAGAGCAACGTAGGTTTCGGCTATTTGACTTGAGTGTTCGAAAAGAAGGCCAAGTAATTCTCAAACATCTTGCTTAAGGGACCAAGGGGGACTTGTTTGTCACGAGCCTGCAAGCTGAAAACACTGGCACATTGGTTGCTCTTGCCAAGCCGTGCTTTGTCACGCCACAGTGGTCGCGAAGTCACTTCACACATGTGAAGGCATGAAGACTGGGTTTGTGCTTTAAACAAAAACAGTTGAGCGACGTTCCAAAACCCTGCGTTTGAAAGTATTCGGGAGGAATTCTCGCTTTCAAAGCGTGAATTTGTCCTAGGACGCGAAGGCACCGCGAAAGGTTCGCGGAAGAACTCTTGATCATTCATGTACCCGTGAAAGGTGCACGACAGGGCCAGAATACCTGTGTGTGATTGTCTGCATGCACTGCAAGTAGGGCTCAGGCAGGTGGGCGCGGAGCAACTGCAGGTGGCAAAGCTCACGAAAAAGCAGTGGCAGGCATGTCCTTGCTTGGGTAGAACAACAAAGAACCTTGGGGATGCCCGCTTGAAAAAAGCGGGGATTGTTACGCGAGACCCTTGCTAACGCGCACAGTGGGTAAAACACTGGCACAAAAAAACGCAGCCCGACTGCGAAAGGTCCGCGAAAGGGGCCCCTGCAACTTTCCAGCATCTCTTCATGCGTGTGTCGCCCAATCAAGTTGCATTCAGCCTCCTGAAGCTAAGAAATTGCAGTTTTCCTGCACGCGCAACAGCGAAAACGAACTTCAAACCCATTTGTTTCTCAATCCTCGAAAGCGACGCGAAAGCGATTCCCTCATCAAGAAAAGAACCATGCCGCAAAAGCTCCGCAAAAGCCTTCGCGAAAGGGCTCTTCGGCTCTGCAACTGGGTCTAGGACACTGCTCAGTTGGTGCCTTGTTCTATAGCGTTGGCTCACCGCACACCCTCTGGCAAACAGGTGGGCTGAAATACATGTTCTTCAAGTCTTCGAGCTGTGGTAGCAGTGATTTATTCTAGGTCCAACTTCACACATGTGAGTTTTGGGACATTGTCTCCTGGGCTTGGAACCACTTGAGTATCAATACGGTAAGACTGTTTTGCCCATGCACTCAGCTTCAAACCCAAACGCTTGCCCCCAGAAACTGCAACTCCGACCCCGCACTGTATGCTGAAACCACGACCTCCCGATTAGTTTTCCCCGTAGGCATGGAGCTCATCACCATCGATGGTGCCTTACCCAGCGAGAGCCCCTACAACGTCGCTGCTCGGGAGAACTTCCGAAGCTTCCAGGCGACGGGCGACGACCCACGATTGCAGCCCTGCCCGGTTTTGCCTCCCATGCTTGTATCCGTTTGAGGCCCAAAAACAACGGTGTGGGCTGGGCACAACAGAGGTCCTGGAAAGTGATCTCAGATGGTTCTGCGTGGAGTTTTTCTAAAGAGCCATACTTAGCATGAGATGGCTGAGTTGTTCAGCCACATCGCAGTTGTGAGGAGCCCTCATTTGAGGCAAAGGTGGAAAGCAAGATCGTTTATGTGCAGATGGCTCTGAAAAAGCTCGCGAAATATCAGGATTTGTGTGACGCACTCTCACGCTGATTTCAGGCTAGGCCCATAAGAGCTGCAGCGCAGCACTTGTGGAGTTTTCGGAGGTTCGGGGAAGTGCTAGCGAAACATCAGAATACCACAGTTTGCACTGATTCAGCTCACTTAGGATGCAAATGCCAGGTCCCTTGGATCCAGTTGCCTGAAATGCCTATGCCCAGTTTCACTGGTTAGTTTGAGGCAGGCACCTCAAGAAAACGGGCGAATCCAGGAATGAGCTGGTGGCAACCATTTCGGCAATGCGCTTTGGGTTGTAGTGGGAGACTTCGCAGGCTGAGACCGCCAGTGTTGCATTTTTTCAAGGAGGGTTTGCTTTGAAATCAATCCACAGAAAGGTCGCTCGTTTTCCCCATGGCCTCTTGAGGTTTGGGTTTGATATGGAATTGCTGGGATGTTAACACACCAGTTGCCGCAGGACGCCATCCTGACCTTGCTGCAAGTCTTCAGCCTTGATTCCATCGGCTCTGTGTACCGGCCTTTGGTGAACCAGCGTATGCCTCTTGGCTCCGTCATAGAGGTCAAAGTTAAAAGGCAAATGTGGTTCAAGCCGCTTCTTGGACCAGGTGATTGATTTCCCCTTCCAAAGATCTACTCAACTCTGAGACCAAGACCTTTGTGTTGTTGAGGCATTTGAAGATCAACGATTCGAGGGCGCAGGTTGAACTTGGCTGTGCCTTGCGTCGGAAGTGCATCGGGCTGTGGGCGCACTCCATTGCAATAGATTTGTCAGCTCACGATTCGGGGGGTTGAGCGAGCTCGCCTGTGGTCGACGTTCGAAGTTGCTGAAGGCAAGAAACTTCCGGCACTTGTTAAGCAGCAACAGAGGTCCCTTAAATTTGGACACTCGCAGTCGCACACTTTGTGCATCCCATGTTCCCTAAGACCAGGAAAAGACGAATTCTAAACTTGTGAACGGAAACGCGTGCTTGTCCCACCTTCAGGGACTCTAAGATGAAGCAACCAGCAGAGCAGCACGAGTGCTGTGAATTGGTAGCCTAAGCGATCTTAATTTGCAGAGAGGAGGTGTCCGGTTTCTTTCTTAGGCAAGTTCAGATATCACCTTCCAGGCCAAGTTGTTTGGATTTTCTCGTTAGAGTGGTAAGCAAAATACAACTAGGTTAACAAGCAGTTTCCTGCTGATTCAAACTACTTTAAGTCTTGTTCCACAGCTCTAGACTCTAATTGTGTTTTGTCAAGGATCTCATATCGCTGCAACATGCCTGCCTCTGTGGGTGGGTGGGTGGGGTTGGGTAGGGTGGGGTGGGGTGGGGTGGGGTGGGGTGGGGTGGGGTGGGGTGGGGTGGGGTGGGGTGGGGTGGGGTGGGGTGGGGTGGGGTGGGGTGGGGTGGGGTGGGGGGGTGGGGTGGGGTGGGGTGGGGTGGGGTGGGGTGGGGTGGGGTGGGGTGGGGTGGGGTGGGGTGGGGTGGGGTGGGGTGGGGTGGGGTGGGGTGGGGTGGGGTGGGGTGGGGTGGGGTGGGGTGGGGTGGGGTGGGGTGGGGTTGGGTTGGTTTGGGTTGGGTTGGGTTGGGTTGGGTTGGTGGGTGGGTGGGTGTGTGCACGCGCGCGTTTGAGTTTGTGTTTGTGTGCGCGTGTGGTGTGTCAGTCAATGGTGGCACAGCACACCTCCGTGTGCACTGCCGATTCGCGGTGGATTTACAAATGTGCGCAATGGTGTTAGCAATTGGCAATCATGCAAGCATATGGAAGCATGATTTTCGCAGAGAGGTTTGATATACCGTACTGTAGACAAGAGGGGTTTGAAGCGGTCCCTCCCGACTTTGGTATTCGGGCTTGTCCCCGACCCAGCACAGATTGGATCTCGCAGTATACATAGTCTTGACTGGGACGCTTCTATCTTGTGTCCACGAAGTCGATTGCGAATCCGCACGTTGCACAGTCTCAGCAAGAGCGGAAAGATTGAATCTGTGGATTGTTACTTATCTTGCGTCGACTAGCAAATCCAGCCCCAACCAAGCCTACTAAGGGATAGACATTCAGAATGTCTCCGTGCGAACGCAAAGACAGAATGTACAAATAGGAAAAGTCTGAAGTTTTCGCTGACTGGCAAATAAGTTGCCATAGTCAGAAGACTCAGTTCCAGACCGAGCTACATCCTACTTCCCATGTTTCCGTTTGTAGCAGAGATGGTGCGATGTGCGAATGAAGCATCACCTTTCATTAACAAGCAAACATAAAAACTCTGAAGTTGCGCGTGTTTGGGAAACACTTACGTGCGGGCAAAACTTCAGAGTTTCCATGTTGCTTTTGCACCTAGGACATCTATTTTGTACTCCTGAAATTCAGTGCTTGAGAGGAACGCCTCTTTTGCTTGCTGACTGGAAAATGAGTTGCCACTGCCAGAAGGCTCGGTTTCCTGACCCTGTGCTAGGCACCACGTGTGCGATGTTATGTTCACGCAGCCATTGCCAAGCCACAGTTCCCTGCTGAGGTTCCTCTTTTTCTACTTCATCACCGCGATGCTAGTGCTGGCAATCGCCTTGATGAATTTAGTCACTGCAGTCATGGTGCCTCGATGAGAATCGGTTCACTGGGTTGGATAGGAAGCTTTCCGAGCGAGACCTTACTTCCAATGCCATAAGCTGCCTTCACGCAAGAGCCTTTTTTCAGAAAGTCCAAGCCATGCTGTGCTCCCACTTGGGCCCTGGTACACGAGACATCCCAAAGTGGCGCTGACGGGTTGACGGGCGCTGGGCCTTAGGAAAGCCAGCCTTTGTGGTAAAGCGTCTTATGAGTACCTGGCCCTGGCAGATTCTCACGCCTGTTTTGCCAACCTGTTCACAGCCTGTCCAGTAGCTCCCTGCCATGCGCGTAGATTTGTTTTTAGACTTTCACAGAGTCAGCTGGCAGGGCACAGGTCTGACGCACACATGTTGTTGATGGGAGTATGTATTGGATGTATTTGTCGTTGGTTATGACGTCATGTCGAAACCGTGCCACTTTCTATCTTGGCATTTTGCTGCAACAGGACGATCATGAGCTCTAGACCAGCGAATTGAACAGAACTTTTACTTGGTAGCTCAACCAAGCACAGATATCAGGGATCTGAAAGACCCGAGGTGAACACGTCGCTGGACCAAGCTTCCCAGGAGAGAGCCGGGGAGTGGGGACTTTTGGCTACCAGACATGCATTTTACATGCTGATCTTCAACGGTAATGAACGGGGCACTCCAAGAGTTGCGGATGGGACGCTTCCAAAAACGACCTAACTGTGTCATTCGTACTGGAACATCAGGAGTTTCGTGGATTTGCTTGCGCGCAAAGCTTCTACTTCATGTCCAATTCTTCCTGTGGCACCGTCAAATGGGCCCTGCTGGGTTCCCAAAAAATCGGTCCCCACGTTGGTCCCGTTCGACAGCCCCAAGATGGGATGTTGTTTGGTTGTTGTCCCACGGATGCCACAACTTCTACTAGTCCTCCTCCAAGACCTCTCAAACCGAGCCGATGATCTAAACTTGTTTTCGGCGATCAGAGTCAGAAGCTTCTGTTTCCCATCAGATCATTCCACGAGTTTCAAAACCATGGCCCCGCTGGAGTCTATGCGTTGTTTACAGTTGCAAATTCTTAGAATATATATTTGTTGTATCAGCCCACTTCCCCAGCTTCCGGACTTTGAGCTTGGGGTAGTTTCTCTTCCGATCGTTTTTTTGACCCAGCGACAGACATCTCTCTTGCCCCGGTTCGATTGGGAGTCCGGCCAGGACAAAGAGGCGAAGCAGGCCTGGGAGGCCGCGAAGCGCAAGAAGCAGGTGGAGCACTTGCCACTTGGAAGCACATGGCTTCGTCTCATCGGGGGCTTTGGGTCAAAGAGAGGTTTCGCCTTGGTTTCCCTCTACGACTCCGGACCTGTTTGTTAAACTCGTGCAGGGCAACAAAAGAAGCATGTACCGTCATTTGGAGGCGCCAAAACCTGCAGAATAGCCAGGTTCGACTCAACTCCGTTGCGCTCCACAGGCCACTTGCGTGTAGTCCGGGATTTCTACCTTTGAGTCAAGCTTTGAGTCAAACAAGAAGTTTGTTGACAACCGCCGCTGAAAGGTGTAGTACTGTAGCTGCAACGCACTTTGCTTAAGTATGAACCTATGCTATTGGGAACCCTGGGTTGAGATAAGTTGGTGGATGCGGGGGAATTCGCGTTGTGGAGTGGCCTCTCATGATATGCGCAACTAGGACCACCCCGAAAGTGCTTGGAAGCCCCAACCAAGGGCGGTTCAGCATCTCACGGAATCAGAGGACACGCCCTGCAAAAAGGTATCCTACGAAGAACGAGCTTGAACTTCTTCTTGTGCCCCTTGTGAGCCACAGGAAGGAGTAAGAAGAGCAATCAGATCATCCCTCATAGCAAGGAAAGTTTGGACCATGGCCCGTGTAGAAATGGGTTGAGACTACCTATTCTGAAACTATGAGGAGGGAGTCATCGCATTTTTGGCGGTGATGCATTTCTATTCCTCAGGGTGCATTGCTGGGCCTTGCGGACTTGCCCCTGCCATGAGGGGCTTCCCTATTTGGTGCACTGCAAGAAGCTTGGGCATTTAGCTGGGAATCGAAAGCCATTTTGCACAAGGAGACCGAACCAATCGAATGCCCAACCCAAGCCAACGGTAGGCGAGCGCATGCTGGATGCCCCCATAGTTTTCGCCACAAGCCCAGGAGGCGCATGTTCGCGAGCCTCGACGAGGATGGCTCCGGGGAGTTGTCGCTGGAGGAGCTTTTGGAGGCCCCAGAGGCCAGCAGGGGAAGGGTGGAGTGGGTGCAGACGCCGTTTTCGTCGCTGATTTTGTGCCGGGGAATGTGGTTGCGTGACACATTCGCTAACGCATAGTTCAATATGTTCCTGGGCGACAGGGGCCGGGGGGGGAGGGAGGTAGGTAGGTGGTTTTGCCTTGGTGAAGTAGTTCTGATTAGGGATGCTGGAGGGATGCTCGAATTCTGTTACCTGCGTTGAAGCACTAAAGTTGGCTGACCCGCTAATTAGAGTAGGTCCCCATTTCACACTTCGGGCCTGATCGAAATGGGCTTTGCCCTTTTTGCGCACGGAATCCAATCAGTTGCCCTTGTTTTGAGTTGAACACAGGCTTTCACGGCAGGCAGAAACGACGTCAACGCGTTTGTTTGCAGGGTCTCACAACCTGCATATATATAGTACAGCGTTGCCAATCCCCCCCCCCCCCCCCCCACCAATGGTCATGGGTCAGACAAGTACCCCCCCCCCTGTGGTTGTGGTCCTGTGGTTGGGTTGTGGTGGTTTAGGGTTGGTTTAGAATTGATTTAGGGTGTATTTAGGGTTAGTTTAGGGTTGGTTTAGGGTTGGTTTAGGGTTGGTTTATGTTGATTTAGGGTGGTTTAGGGTTGGTTTAGGGTTGGTTTAGGTTTACGGTTTAGGGTTTGTTTTAGGGTGTATTTAGGGTTGGTTTAGGGTTGGTTTAGGGTTGGTTTAGGGTTGGCTTAGGTTTAGGGTTTATTGTTTAGGGATTGGTTTAGGGTGCATTTGGGGTTGGTTTAGGGTTGGTTTAGGGTTAGTTTATGGTTGGCTTATGTTGATTTAGGGTTGGTTTAGGTTTAGAGGTCTACGGTTTAGGGTTTGGTTTAGAGGGTATTTACGGTTCGTTTAGGGTTAGTTTAGGGTTGGTTTATGGTTGGTTGCGGGTTGGCTTGTCCTGGGGGTGGGGGTGCCGGGGTGTCGGGGTGCGAGTTCAGGGGGTCGGGGTGGGGGTGGGACCGTAGGTGACAGGATCCGGGGGCTCGGGCCGGGGGGGGCGGTCCTGGGGGACCCATACCATATGGGGGGGGGGGGGGGGTAGCAACACGGAACACGGGACCATATATATATATATATATATAACCCTGCAACCACAGGTTCTCAGAAATTGGTGTCGCGGGCAAAAATAGCCCGATGCACAAAGACAAAGCTCCGCTTTAAATAGTCCAAACAACACGAATTCACACAGAACCCCCGTGATTTGCAAAATGCTGTTGGGGCCAGCTGGAAAGGCAGACCTTTTCAACCTAGCAGAATCTGCGGCGCATCCTAGCAAAATGCCGTGACCATCCCCATAATAGAGGGGATGGCATTGGGTACACTCACCAAATTCGGAAACATCGGGCGCCACTCCATTGACAGCTCATCTGACCCACGTGTATTTGGACAGGACCTGATCTGCGACCTCAAAGAAATCAGTACTGTGGATGATCTGGAGGAGTTGTTCTCCATGTTGGCCCCTTGGTCAATGGGCCCACGAAACGAGTCGTCAACTGCCGACGGTCAGTTCAAGGTGTGTAGATTTTTCGCGGCGAAGTCAAGCAATCTCTTGGTAGGTGGATACCTTATAGGATGCTGGGCAACGATGGTCAGGATTTATCAAGCAGCTCTCAAACTGGCTGCAGTCAGCTCAAGTTTGGAGTCGGCCTTTGCAGGCAAGGCAGCATCGCCCATCAATCCCCCAGAAAAAGAAAAGACGCCAAAGAGCTGTGTGACTTGGCCCGATTACATGACTTTGCTGGACCTTGCACACATGCCAAAGTGGAGCAAACAAGGGACTTTCATGTTGTATGGTCTTACTCCATGACGGGATCTGTGCTGCTGAATTGTCTAGTCTCTGGATGAACTCCGGGCAGCTCTAGGCTGATGGAGCCGCCATGTCCCTTTAAGGTCAGGGTTTGGATCAAAGGTGTTCTCATTGCTGTGGGCTCCATGATCGTTTGTTATGTTTCCGCTCGGGCAATCAACTGTGCCAGTCTCCAAGAAGTGAGCGGAAATGCTGCGTTCGGCAGCCCCAATTGAGGGATTTGTTGGAGAACTCGCACAAAACAGTACAAAGGAGCATGCATGGTGATTACCCCATGTCAGTTGGGCGGACCACTTGCCCATATTCACAGCTCGTTGCGAAGCCTTCCACTCCATTTAGGTAGAACTTGAGGGGTGTCTTCCCTTCGCGCAAGTGTCCAGTTTCTGGGTTGCAGTGCAACCATCATTGGGGTGGCGGCGCCCCCAAAACCGAAAACTTGGGATGAGTCAGATCACCATCAAATAAATGTGACAAATGCAGTGTTGCGCGATTCGGGGTGTAATCAGTGTAATCATGACACGAGTCGCCGGCCGGCTATTCATGCAGAAGCAGGCAGGGGTCATTGCTGTCGCTAGGTGTGACTGGCTGACATGTGCGGCTTGCTGAGTTTTGATTATTCCTAGGATTATGACGGAGGGGGCGCCATTGACACCAACGAGTTCTGCGAAGGCATCTTGAAGGCGAGCCAGTGCTTGCTCTGCTGAAGATGCGGTCCCTCTTGCCAAACACCATGCTTCGCTCCAAAGCCACAAGCCTGCACGCTGCTTGTGGTATGATGTATCTTGGCTAGAATGTGTTTGTGTCCTTCGGACTCTCGAGAGTCATGTCCAGCTTTTCTTGGGCCCATTGTCGCCATGGCGCATCGAAGTTGCCCCTTGGCTGGCGGACTCACATACAACACGGTAGAATTGAACGGCTCGGCGCCATTCGGCCTCCTTGCCTTTGAGAGAGAGACCTTGGTGACGTTTCCGTACAAAGTGGCGACCCGGTGCAGAGACATTCAAATGCAAGGATATGAACTTGATGGTCGTTCCTAATCATGATGTTCTGCAAGCCAGATAGCCAGCATCAGTTCCACTACCACCTTTTTGAAACTCAAGTCATGTGCTTCCATTGAGACCGCAACAGCTCTTGTGAATCATGTGGCTTGTCAACACGCGAAATCCTTCGCTTCGTGCGAACTTGGCCGTTCTGTGCCAAGAGGTTGCCAACGAGTCGCGGAGTGCCGTGGAGCTGGGGCGCCTCATGAAGCAGTGCCGCCTGGCGAGCAAATTCCTTGTGCTTCACCTTCAAATAGAGGGGTCTACTTGAATTGAGTTGTTGAAGAAATTTTTGAACAAGCCTGGTTGAGGAAGTTTGCTTGCGTCAACAAGTTGAAGCAATCAAGTGCATGGGAATTCATCAGGTCAATCTTTGATTTGGTTCTGACAGAAGCTTTCCTGGACCTTGTGGCAAGCTGTCGCGTGGAGGCACCACAGGCCGCCAAAGCCCATTCGAATCACTAAAGGAGCGATATGCTAGTTCAAAAATTTGGTTTGGCCCCCGCAGCGAAAGAGCAAAGGTCCAAGCCCGCACATAGGATAGTGCCACCTAATAAAATGTCATGAAGCCGGCAAGCCTTCAGCCTGAGCGATTTGGTCGGGTCGTTCAGTGGCTCCCTGTTTCCTTGCAGGTCCTGTTTTGCCCCGACATGGGGAAGCTTGCTTGCTGGACTGACCAGTTTCATGGTGTATTCGTAGAATGCCAAAGAAGTGGGACAGAGCTGTAGGCAATGAGATTCTCTCCAACACCAACATGCTGATGGACTTTGTGAAGGCGCCAAGTTAGATGGACATCGCTTGATTTTCTGCGGAAAAAAAAAAAAACAAAAACGGTGCTTTCTGGACGTGTCAAGACATGCATAGACCCTTTGAGGTGAAGAGGGACTATAGCCCGGGGTCCACCAGCTCACATCTATTTCATTTGTGAAGGCCTGTGACACGGCGAATGCTAATGCCGCTGTGTTATGTTTCAGGCAAGTGGGTGAGATGGTAACGCCCCCAAGCCACCAAGTGCCACCCGAGCCTATTGATGGCTAAGCCTGAAGGGTAGACGCTTACTGCGGGTTTTGTTCTCTCTCCCTTCCCCAGAAATGCCAGACGCACAGCAACCTGTTCAGGCCATTGTTTCCCATTTGACCAGAGCCACGTTGCTTCCTTTTGGTGCAGCTCGGTCCCCTCAATGAATGCGGATGTGCCAACAAGAAGTTGAGCTTCCCCCTGCCAAACGAAGGGCGGTGTGTCTTATGCCAATGCTGAAGTGTTCAGAAGCTCGTGTCGCAGGTCCCATTGACAGCCCAACATTGCTATTGCGCTCACGCTTGCTTGCAGCAACTCTTACATTTGTGGGCACAGGGGTCAGCACCAGTCACGCGGTAGGAGTCGTAAGCAAGGGCACGAGACCGCGAATGTGGAAGACCTTTTATCGTGGACAAATGCTTGGTTTGGAGTTCAGAAATGCAACTGCGTGAGCGTGTCAAGTCCCCGTACGTGGAGCAACATTGTGATGTTTGTTGAAACGAGAAGCATAGCAGCAATGGTTCATGGATGCAAAGCAGGAAGAGCATGAAATATCCACAATGAGTTCAGTCTGGAACCTGTCTAACTCATATCTCCTTTCGGAAGCTGCAACGAAGCCAAAATCTCTGCTCCAGCACGCGCGCCAGGCGCCCGTGGACAAGGTCAAAGGAGCCGAAGCCGGAAATTGTTCCTGGACTTTACAGTTTTTGGGGAAGACCGTGTTACTGACAAATTGATAAATAAAAGGTTTGGACCTTTTGTGATAAAAGGTTTGGACTTTTTGTGATAAAAGGTTTGGACTTTTTGTGATAAAAGGTTTGGACTTTTTGTGGTGAGTTTCTCGGGTGTACGGAAGTATCTGGGAGAGAAAAAGCACGCCTCTTTGTTATACAAGAAGGTGTTCCGTAAGTGCTCAAAGTAAGCAAGCCACGTAGAAGCCATAACAGGCAGTGCCAGACGTAGCAAGCCTTTGATCAGGGAGGCTCTTTTCAAACAGCAGTCGACGTGACCAACAACAAATGGGATGCCACACACAATAGCGCTGCTGCATAGTACGGCTTACTACACCGGGGAAAGAATACCGTAGTTTTTATGGGAAAGCTATGGGAATATTATAGGAGAATGACGCGAAGACTGCGGCAGGGCTATGGGAAGACGGCAGAAGGTCAGATAGACGTACAACAGCTGAAAGACGGACACATGATATTGATCCTAATGTTGGCACTTGATTAATCAACTGGACTATAATAATGGAAAGTTGTTTTCCTTATTCTGGTTCGCACCCATTGTTGAGGGGGACCAGAACAATTGAAAGTTTTTTGGCCCGGGGGGAAATTCCAAATATCCACAAATCGATTTTAATTTAAACAACCATCCCCCCTCCCAGAAAATAGACTATCAGTTACTTTACTCAAAAGCATTCCCCTTTCAATTGGTGGCCCACTTGCTTAAAAGCATCCCCTTTCAATTGGTGGCCCACCTGCTTAAAAGCATTCCCCTTTCAATTGGTTGCTCAACCACAGAACCCAAAGACAGCTGAAACCTCTGAAATTTGAAAACCATCCCCAGCCCTGACACTGCAAACTCTTTATTAAACCGTGTTTTAAAAAAAAACGCCAAACAAAGAAAGAAAACACAATCAGGACAAGGGTACCCCTCACAGACCCCACTGAACCACAATAATGCCATTATTTTAGGGGACCACATTAGTTGCAAGCCCCCAGCCCTATCAGTTGCTTTACTCAAAAGCGTTCCCCTTTCAATTGGTGGCCCACTTGCTTAAAAGCATTCCCTTTCAATTGGTGGCCCACTTGCTTAAAAGCATTCCCCTTTCAAGTGGTTGCTCAACCACAGAACCCAAAGCCAGCTGAAACCTCTGAAATTTGAAAACCATCCCCAGCCCTGACACTGCAAACTCTTTATTAAACCGAGAGAAAACTAATGCCCAAAAAAAGCAATCAGGACAAGGTACCCCTCACAGACCCCACTGAACCACAATAATGTCATTCTTTTAGGGGACCACAGTAGTTGCAAGCCCCCAGCCCCCCCTCCCAGAAAATAAACTATCAGTTGCTTTACTCAAAAGCATTCCCCTTTCAATTGGTGGCCCACTTGCTTAAAAGCATCCCCTTTCAATTGGTGCTGATTGAACAGGGTTTCCTTCTCGCTGTCGGCAACTGACAAATGAAGAAATTATCCGAATCTTGCTGTCCGATCCAGAATTTATCAGGAAATTGTGGGGAGCAGAATTTATCAGGGAATTGCCTGGCGTATAGACTTAAAATTTGAACCTTTGCGTTCCAACAATATCAAGCCAGTATGTTGCCAAAGACATGGGAAAGCTGCAACAGCGGGCAGGGCAGTCCTTTCGGTTTTACTGATTTTTCCGCATGCAAAGAGGGGGGCGAAAGAGAGCAAATCCGCTGCCATGTTGGAAGGCTTCAAAAATACCGCCAATACCACTAGATCCCCCAGGGCCCTTTTACCCTTTTTGGGGGAGGGTTCCCCTACTAACATACACTGCAGAAGAAAAAAGAGTTGGTACCCTTATTCTAAGCTCTCTGGAGGACCTAGACCATGTATACATGCCGCAGTTGCCTCATTTGCCGACTCTCCAGGACGCCGCTCGCGGATCGACGCCCATGACAGGCGATGTCAAGTCAAAAAGCGGTCCCTGTTGCGTTCCATCGGTGGTCGTCCCTTCTGCCACTTTGGGAGTTTATGACGGGATGTTGATACAATGGATGATGGGAAAGCAATGTCAATGGCAAACTCTGAAATATCTTACATCGAGATACAGATTCGGCATTTAGCTAGGCGAATCGCGGCCGTGGGAAGTCTCCAGAATCCCAGACTTCTTTGGGAGCCAATTCTCCGGAATAAGGGGGAAGCTCATGCCTGGCATGAAGTGCCCTTGGGCGGCAGAATTTCAGACAGCAGTCCATTCACAATTCAAGCGTTCCGTTGCAAAGCTTTGCTGTACAAACGGTAGGCTGAAAAGTGTCAAAGCCGAAGAGCAATTTCAGGCTTAGTCACCTACATGTCCAGCCACAAATTCTAAGTAGTGAGCAGGGTGATCATGTTTTTCAAGGATGTGTTTGAGCTGACTTGCAATGCCATTCTGGCGACGCAGGGCAGATGGCCGAGGATACTACCGACCACCAGCTTGAAACACAGAATCCATGAGGAGAACGAGCGGGATGCTGTGCACCATGATGGAACACGGTGTTCCTTGAAACTTATTGGTTCGTAGGTCTTGGCAGCCAAACCGTCAGGACCTTCATGAAAGCGAAGCATTTGTGTTGTGCCCCCAACCACTGCCAGCAGATGATGAGATTTGCACAGCGGTGAGTCAAACAGGCTAACTGGCAAGGTGCGTCAATGACGACCAAAGAGCCGTTACCATGTAGTTTCCAGACTTGACATCTTTGAGAAAGGTGATTTAGTAGGTAGCGCGTGGTCATAAGCTTTATTTGGATGATCGTTTGACCCGCTGGTGATAGGCGTCTCTTTGGCACAGCTTGCTTTGCCCAGAGGCCAAGCGCTGGCTTGCACGAGCGGGTGGGGAAATTGGAGAACGAGGCGAGCAATCCAATCCGATTGATGGGAACCGACTGTTGTTGTTGTTGCTGCTGCTGCTGTTGGTTTTGTTTCGGTGGCCCTGGGTTGTTGTGGTGGTTGTTGTTTGTTTGTGTGTTTGTGTGTTTGTGTGTTTGTTTGTTTGATTGTTTGTTTGTTTGTTTGTTTGCTTGCTTGCTTGCTTGCTTGCTTGCTTGCTTGTTTGCTTGTGTGTTTGCTTGCTTGCTTGCTTGCTTGCTTGCTTGCTTGCTTGCTTGCTTGCTTGCTTGCTTGCTTGCTTGCTTGCTCGCTTGCTTGCTTGTTGTTTGGTTGTTTGTTTGGTTGTTTATTTGTGTGTTTGCTTGCTTGCTTGCTTGCTTGCTTGCTTGCTTGCTTGCTTGCTTGCTTGCTTGCTTGCTTGCTCGCTTGCTCGCTTGCTCGCTTGCTTGCTTGTTGTTTGGTTGTTTGTTTGGTTGTTTATTTGTGTGTTTGCTTGCTTGCTTGCTTGCTTGCTTGCTTGCTTGCTTGCTTGCTTGCTTGCTTGCTTGCTTGCTTGCTTGCTTGCTTGCTTGCTTGTTTGTGGTGTGTTTCTTTGTTTGTATCTTTGTTTCGCTATTTCTTTGTTTGGTGGGTTGTTTGTTTGTTTGTGTGTTTGTTTGCCTGCCTGCTTGCTTGCTTGCTTGTTTGTTTGTTTGTTTTGTTTGTTTGTTTTTTTTCTTTGTGGTGTGTTTCTTTGTTTGTATCGTTGTTTCGTTATTTCTTTGTTTGTTTGTTTGTGTGCTTGTTTGCTTGCTTGCTTGCCTGCCTGCCTGCTTGCCTGCCTGCCTGCCTGCTTGCTTGCTTGCTTGCTTGCTTTCTTGCTTGCTTGCTTGCTTGGTTGGTTGGTTGGTTGGCTGCTTGCTTGCTTGCTTGCTTGCTTGCTTGCTTGCTTGCTTGCTTGCTTGGTTGTTGGTTTGTTGGTTTGTTTGTTTGTTTGTTTGTTTGTTTGTTTGTTTGTGTGTTTGCTTGCTTGCTTGCTTGCTTTCTTGCTTGCTTGCTTGCTTGCTTGCTTGCTTGCTGGTTGGTTTGTTTGTTTGTTTGTTTGTTGGTTTGTTTGTTTGTTTGTTTGTTTGTTTGTTTGTTTGTTTGTTTGTTTGTTTGTTTGTGGTGTGTATCTTTGATTGTATTTATGTTTCGTTATTTCTTTGTTTGGGGGGTTGTTTGTTTGTTTGTGTGCTTGTTTGCTTGCTTGCTTGCTTGCCTGCCTGCCTGCTTGCCTGCCTGCCTGCTTGCTTGCTTGCTTGCTTTCTTGCTTGCTTGCTTGCTTGGTTGGTTGGTTGGTTGGCTGGTTGGTTGGTTGGTTGGTTGGTTTGTTTGTTTGTTTGGTTTGTTTTTTCTTTGTTTGTTTGTTTGCTTGCTTGCTTGTTTGTTTGTTTGTTTGTTTGTTTGTTTGTTTGTTTGTTTGTGTTTGTTTGTTTGTGTTTGTTTGTGTTTGTTTGTAGTTAGTGACGATGCTGCTGTTGCTGTTGTTGTGATGGTGGTGGTGATTGTTGTTGTTGCTGCTGTTGTTGCCGCCCTTGTTCTTCTTATCTTTTTTGTTATTCTTATTGTTCTTCAAGCTCAAGGCAGCTCGGATGCCACATCTTCTGAGAAACAGGTGCGGTTGACCCATTCAGGTCTTTCCATCAGCTTACCTCTTAGAGGTAAAGACAAGCTGCTGATCCAGTGCCAAATCTGCTCCACACGGCCGCGGCAAGCCTTTTGACCGTTGGGTTGCGCTGTTTTGGGTTGTGGTCCCACAGTCCAAATGGTTATTGCCCTAAGTGAGTTATAAAGCCCGCCTTGCCAACATTTCTGTTGTTCCGGTAGCACTTCTCTGTTTGTCCTGTCATGTTCCAGATGTCTGGCTGCGGAGCGCCTGCATTTCATAGGCACTCGCGCGGGCCAGGTGGCAGCCATGCACGAGGACCTAAAGACGGTGATCCGTCGCTTGGAGGGCTGAAGGCATCGCAGAACTTGGCACACTGGGAGCAAACTAGCACCGTCAGGCCAAAGGAGACGTTCTGGAGGACGTCAAAATTAAACCACCAGGAATCAGACTGCAGGTTTTAGTCCATGTTTCCACTCACCAGGGTTCCAGTTTGGGCACCTACGTTTGACCCACAGCCACAGACATGACAGCAGGAAATCATCGGACCTGTTTTGCATGGTTATAGAGGGAAATCGAACAAAGGATTGGGCTCTAGGACTTCCAGTGGTTGCATTCAATTGCCACTCAAGGTAGCATTGAGCAACGGTAACAAAAGTATCATTCATCACCATCTACGACTGTGACCGGAATGACACGTTGTGCAAATGAGGGTCACCCATTGAATTATGCATTAGCATGCATTAGCATGCATTAGCATGCCTTAGCATGCATGAGCATAATATGTCAGGGGCGCGAGGAGTAATTATCAACCTTGCCTGAATTGTGTTCACCTCCGTCCAGTTTAATTTGATCCCTGGAGTCAATGCTTTTCCTTCCCGGACCCGCCAGTTCCAGAGCCTCCAGATTCCTAAGAGTCAAACCCCAAGCAGCGTCAGCCACCACGACTCAACCGCTTTATTCGAAACGGCTCTACTTAAAGTGCGTACTGAGTATGTGCTGAACATCAGTGAACAAAACGCGGGCACTGTCTTGTGTTGTTTGTCTAAGGGCTTGTTGCGTTGTATCTCCCCTCGATGGAGGCCTCGCGAAGCTTTGCTCTAGAGCTGGAGCTTCACATTCTGAGGTCCGGTTTTAACTTTTGCCCCTGAGGCACAAGGGAATTCTTTGCCTCGGGGCAAGCCGAAGAATCTTGGTAGCCCTGTCTGCGAGACTTCACTGGTGGTCATTAAGTGAAACTCGATGGTCAGGGTCTGGCATTGCATTTTACTGGAGTGGCCTTTTTCTTAGATCGGTTTGCAGCAAACCCGGTGGATTAGCCGTTTGAGTCATGGATGTTGTGTAGGACAGAGTGCGAAAAAGCGCGGATATGGCTACTGGGGGAAGATCTTGCTAACGCCTGGCTGGACTGCAAAGCAGTCTGCCACGACTGCTCCCACGAGGGATCACGTAGGTCTTTGCACAACTGCATGGTGAACGAAAAGAAATGACACGAAATCGAGTTCCGAATTGTGTTGATGGTGGAGGTTGCCAGTTGACCGTTCAGTGCAGCATGCGCCATGGTTAATACACAAATAGTCATGTTGGTTGCGCAACATCGAGGGGACAGTCTTTGTCCTCATTTGGGCGTGGAACCTCAGCTTCTGAAATTGTACCCCAAAATCGTGGCAACCAAAGATGATATAATAGAATATAATATAACATAAGATGACATAATACAATATAATATGATACAATTTGATATATATATATATATATGGGTATATATATATATAATTATGTATGTAATATATGTTTGATAATAAAAATATTTTTTTAATATGCATGGTTATTGGGATTGATGGTTGTGAGATTGTGGTTTTTTTGTAGTTTTAGTTTGATGGTGTATGTGATTGTATGAGATTATTTGAAGGTAATAAATATTGAGGAATTTATGATATTCGGGATAGGGGTAAATTTTATTTTATTAATATAATTTTTGTATTTGAATAAATTATATTTTGATTTGATGGTTGAATTATTGTTTTATGGTAAATAATTATATATATTATTTAAGGGTTGCTGTTTAGTGTTGCCGACCCCCTGGATTTACTTGTGGTTTTCGAGTAACTAAAAATAGTGCCTTTGGTTTTGGTTTCTTTGGTTTCTTGCGAATGATGCATAGTGATGATTATTATTAAGGCAGGATTCCAAATTTTAATGATCTAAATGGCATCTGAGGCGAGGTGTCGTTTCGATAGTGATACATAGTTATGATTATGATTATTGCTGCTGGAGATACTGGGGATATATAGTGATGACTATCCTTATGATTGCCATAGATGCTGCGAATGATACGTAGTGATGATTATTATTAAGGTAGGACTCTAAATCTTAATGATATAAATGGCATCTGAGGCGAGGTGCCGTTTCGATAGTGATACATAGTTATGATTATCGCTAGGTACCCTTGGTAATGTAGAGGATATTACGATGATAGTGATTATGATAGTTTTCCGTAGCTTTGGTAATGCAGAGGATATTACGATGATAGTTATCATAAGAGTCATTATCCTTATTATCTTTATCATGATTGTTATTATAGTCATCGCCTTCATCATCGTTATCGTGATTGTCACGATCATCTCTTTCTTCTATACATTTCAAATGTGACCTGGATACTGGTGATGCCAGACACGTTTTCTTGCCACACGATGTCCTTCTATCTCGTCAAGAAAAAGCAGCTCTTAGCCCCGCTCTCTACCCCCCCCCATCAGCCGCAGCATCCTGTGCATTACCAATAGACACGCCCGGGCGATGCTAGACACGTTTTCTTGCCATACGATGCCCTTCTATCTCGTCAAGAAAAAGCAGCTCTCAGCCCGCTCTCCACCCCCCCAGGAGCCGTAGCATCCTCTGCATTTCCAATAGACACGCCCGGGCGATACTGGTGATGCCAGACACGTTTTCTTGCCACACGATGTCCTTCTATTTTGTCAAGAAAAAGCAGCTCTCAGCCCCGCTCTCCACTCCCCCATGAGCCGCAGTCGCGCCTGGCGTCAGTACGCAAGTAAGCATAGGCTAGGGAGCATCAGCCGCAGCATCCTGTGCATTACCAATACACACGTCATCATCATGATGATCATTATCATCTCTTTCTTGTTCTTATATGCATTTCAAAAATAACGTTAGACACCATTGGCAATGCAGAGGATGTTACGATGATAGTTATCATCACAGTCCTCCAAGCACTAACGAAAGATGATGACTATCATCGTAGCATCCTTAGCATCACCAACGGCTGTGATGATAACGATCATCGCAGCATCCTCTGCATCACCAATGCTGCCTAATAAGAGATGACGACGACCATGATGAGAATGGGGGCGTGATGATCGTTATCATCCGCGTCATGACAACTATCATCACAACATCCTCTGCATCACTACTTGTTCCTTGATAACTATCATCGTTGCATCTTTGGCATTGCCAAGGATGTCTAACGTCCCTTTTAATTTCTATATATAGTAAGATATGAGAAGACATGAGGTGATGCTAGGTGATGATCAGATGATGAGAAAGATAACGACGAGGATGATGACTATCGACTATCATCGTAGCATCCTTAGCATCACTAACGGCTGTGATGATAACGATCATCGCCGCATCCTCTGCATCACCAATGCTGCCTGATAAGATCTTTGGCATTGCCAAGGATGTCTAACGTCCATTTTTGATTTCTATATATAGTAAGATATGATAAGACACGAGATGATGCTTGGTGATGATCAGATGATGATAAAGATGATGACAAGGATGATAATTGTCATCGTAGTATCCTTAGCATCACTAACGGCTATGATAATAACGATCATCGCCGCATCCTCTGCATCACCAATGCTGCCTGATAAGAGATGACGACGACCATGATGAACGTTTCAAGTGTCCCGTTAGACCCGATTTGAGATGCAGAAGATGCGCGGACATGATTATCATGATGACTGCTGGTGATGCTGAGGATGCGTCATGATGATTATCATGTGCGTTCAGATGATTATCATGTGCGTTCATCATCATCATCAGCATCATCACGGTGCTTATCATCATCATCTTCTTCGTCATCGTCCTTGTCTTATTTTTTTTATATACGTTTCAAGTGTCCCTTTAGACCCGATTTGAGACGCAGAAGATGCGCGGACATGATTATCATGATGACTGCTGGTGATGCTGAGGATGCGTCATGATGATTATCATGTCAATTGGTGTTCATCATCATCATCTTCTTCGTCATCGTCAACACATAAAAAAAGATAAGGACGATGACGAAGAAGATGATGATGATAAACACCGTGATGATGCTGATGATGATGATGAACTCACATGCTAATCATCATGACGCATCCTCAGCATCACCAGCAGTCATCATGATAATCATGTCCACGCATCTTCTGCATCTCAAATCGGGTCTAACGGGACACTTGAAACGTACATTAAAAAAGATAAGAAGAAGACGATGATGATGAGCAACGTGATGACGATGCTGATTATGATGATGATGAACTGACATGATAATCATCATGACGCATCCTCAGCATCACCAGCAATCATCATGATAATCATGTCCGCGCATCTTCTGCATCTCAAATTGGGTCTAACGGGACACTTGAAACGTACATAAAAAATAAGATGAGGACGATGACGAAGAAGCTGATGATGATGAGCACCGGGATGATGATGATGATGATGATGATGATGATGATAATAAATTGACATGATAATCATCATAACGCATCCTCAGCATCACCAGCAGTCATCATGATAATCATGTCCACGCATCTTCTGCATCTCAAATCGGGTCTAGCGGGACACTTGAAACATATGATGATCATAAACACTAATTGACATGATAATCATCATGACGCATCCTCAGCATCACCAGCAGTCATCATGATAATCATCTTCTGCATCTCAAATCGGGTATAACGGGACACTTGAAACGTATTTAAAAAAGATTTAAGGACGATGACGAAGAAGATGATGATGATAATGATGCTGATGATGATGATGATGAACTGACATGATAATCATCATGACGCATCCTCAGCATCACCAGCAGTCATCATGATAATCATGTCCACGCATCTTCTGCATCTCAAATTGGGTCTAACGGGACACTTGAAACATATATATAAAAAGATAAGGACGATCATGAAGAAGATGATGATGATAAGCACCGTGATGATGCTGATGCTGATGATGATGATGATGATGAATTGACATGATCACCAGCAGTCATCATGATAATCATGTCCACGCATCTTCTGCATCTCAAATCGGGTCTAGCGG